GAAAAATATCAATTACCATGTTGTTGAGTCAGTCATTTACAAAACTGATGAGAAAACCTAACTGGACATCAGCGGTCAACAATATACCATCTACAAAAAAATATCAATTACCATGTTGTTGAGGCGGTCATCCACACTCTCACTGCTCCAGTTTGGTAAGTCCTGATCATGCATGACTTCTTCAAAAGGACCTCCTCCTGTGGCCATGTTGGTTCTAATAATTAATTCTCTGAAAAGAAGTAAAAACTAAGCTTTTTAACATATAAAGACAAGCTTTATTTTAAAATTTATTTATATTTACATTGGGTGTATGCATGTTTTTGTATGTAAATGCAGACATATATGTACCACAGTATATGTACAGAGATCAGAGGACAACTTTCTGGAGTCAGTTCTCTCCTTGCGCTGTGTGGTCTGGGGATGAGACTCAGTCGTCAGATTTGTACAACAAGCCTTTTCATATGCTAGACCATCTTGTTGGCCCAAACTTCAGAGTTTAAATCATTCCATCAAATTAGTAGTATAAAGGAATCTCTGAAACACGAATTTTAAAAAATACAATGTCAACCACATATCACAGATAAATTGATTTATCTGCTATATACAAAAAATAACGAGTTAAGTAGCAAGAATGATAGAGATGGTAGCACATGCTTGTAATCTCAGTAGTAGGAGGCAGAATTAAATGTTCCAGAGCAGCCTGAGCTAAATAAAAAAGAACAAAGGAACTAAACATTTTTCAGAGTACCTATTGTCTCACAGTGTTATATTAATCTTCCTAAAGTCTACCAAACTCCTAAATCTTCCCTGCAGAGGGTTTTGGCTTTTGATGTTCTTTTCGGTGGTGTTGTTTTGGGGCTTTAAATCACATTTATTTATTTGTTTGTTTGTTTGTTCAGTTCATTCATTCATTCATTCATTTGTTCATTTATTTATGGGGGGAATCCAGGCCACAATGCAGGTATGGAGGCCAAAAGATAACCTGTAGCAGTCAGTTCTCTCCTCCCACTATATGGAACATGAGGACTGAACTTCGGTTGTCAGGTTGTGGCTAACATCTCTAACTAATGACCATCTCCATAATCTGCTCTATTTTTTGAGATCAGTCTTACTTACTATGCTGCCCATGCTGGCTTTGTCCTACTTAGCCTCCCATGTGCTAGAATTAGAGGCATGGACCACCAAACCCAGCAAGATACCCTATGAAGGTTTTGCTTGTGGACATGAAAATAAAGGTACTGAATATTATGTCTGGGTCAGAGAGAAGAAACAGAAGCAACAGAGTTGGAACAAAAGCAGAGAGTCAGAAGTAGAAATGACCATGAGAAAAGGTTTCTAAATGGTCTTGAGCAAGATCCTGGATTTCCACCAGCTACTGGATTACCATGTTGAAAGAGGAGCAAATGAAGATGGAAGAAAAAAAAAAAAAAACAAGATAACTTTATCTAATACGGAAAGTCAAAAGGAATACACTTCATCAGTCAGGTAATTTTACCAGAATCATTCAGTTACAGAGCAAAAATTTTAAATTCAATTTGCTCTGACTCTAAGATTCTAATCACTCCATTTAATAATATCATACATTATCATTCATAGTAAAACAGGATTTATGTCATGGATATTTTAATGTTACAATATCTATTAGAATAATAGATTAACAAATTATGCAACATATTAAAATTTTATCTCAAGATAAAAAGTGATATAAAATTCTACACAATATTAACTTGAAAATCTTTTTAAAAAATACTTGCTTACAGTTACACATATATTTATTCTGGGTTTCTTGTTTTGGGGGGGCGGCCTCTTTTTAGTGCTGAGTAGGGAACCTGAGGCCTTACACATGGTAAGCAAGTGCTCTATCACTTCTCTACCCCATACCATTGGTGTTTTTTTCAAGGAACATATACTATTTTAATAATTCTCTGAAACACTGGAAAGAAGCGTAGTTTATTCTTTTTTACACGTGCGTGCGTGCGTGCGTGCGTGCGTGCATGCGTGCGTGTGTATTCATCTGTGGGATGGTACATGCAGTGAATGGAAGACAATTTCAAGTGTACCTTTAAGACACAGTCTCTCATTAGCTTGTAGTTCACCAATTAGGTTAAACTAACTGGCTAGCAACCAAGTCCAGCATTTTCACATGGGTTTTAGGGAGCACACTCAAGAACTTGTGCATGTAATGCAAGCATTTAGTGAGCTACCTCCTCAGCTCAAAAAGCATACTGTAAGCAGTCAACATTATTCTTTAAGACATGGAGAAAAATCTTAATAAAATCAGAATGTCACATATCTGTTACTTGGCACTATTCAAAAATTTTATCAAGCAGAAAAAATATGAAACAAAGTAATAATAGGGAAAAGAAAAAAGGTAGTATTCTTAAACAATATGCACTAAAAAATTTACAGAACTTCAAAATATCACTGTGATGGCTTAAACATGTATGGCCCCCATAAACTCTTGTGTTTGAATACTTGGCCTATAGAGAGTGGCACTAATAGGAGGTATGGCCTTATTGGAGGAAGTGTGTCACTGTGGAGGTGGGCTTTGGGGTCTCAGATATGCTCAAGCCATGCCCGGTGACAGTTCACTTCCTGCTGCCTTTGGATCAAGATGTAGAACTCTCAGCTCCTTCTTTAACACCATGTCTGCCTGAAATCTGTCATGCTTCTTACCATGACAATAATGGATTAAACCTCTGAAACTGTAAGTCAGCCCCAATTAAATGTTTTTCTTTCTTTCTTTCTTTCTTTCTTTTTTTTTTTTTTTTTTGGTTTTGAGACAGGGTTTCTCTGTGTAGCTTTGCGCCTTTCCTGGAACTCACTTGGTAGCCCAGGCTGGCCTCGAACTCACA